TTCTTTTTCATTTCTGTTTTGTGTAGGGAAAATGAATTGAATCATTCAATCACCAATCCTCGTGGGATCGACCTCGCACTTACATACGCTATACTACCGAACGGCTCGTGCACTTGCGAGTATCACAAGTTGAGGATGCAACTGAATCCATTTTGGTGCAGCTGTATCTACACAACAGATACCATGTTAAGATTACAGAGGGATGACCTGCGGTCCACTACTAACATTGATAGTGTGCCTAACTTAACCACTTGCACTATCTGGTAGGTGTGAGACAGACGAGATAAGATTTTATCTCACACGAATCATTGGATCAAGTTCTCTTATCTGAATTAATCCTTTCACAATCATCTTGTTTGGAATGGTTGGATTATAATTGTTTGGGCTTGGTTTAAAAAATCATATTTCTTATTTAATTGAATTTTATGAAAACTTTACTAATATTTTATTTTATTTTAAAAAAAATATACGGTTCTCAAATTTGCCACGTCATCACTTAACAGATTCTCTAACAACTAATCTAACGATTGAGCCACATTGTAAAAAATTTACAAACACATGGTACTTTATTGTTAAAATTAAAAGTTCAGGAGTAAACATGCCTTAAGGATAAGAATTCAAGGTATTAAATTGAAATTAACCATTGTTTTAATTGTTCTAGTGTTGTTGGTTTGGTTGCTTGGTTGTGATGCAGGTTTTCTTTTGGATGGATTTTTTTTTGTCGAGTCCTTTGAATGGATGTTGCTGCAGCTAGTTGGATGGAGGTTTTTTGGTTGCAGAGCTAGAGTTTTGCTGCAGCTAGTGTTTTCTGTGTTTTGGCGATGGATGAATTTATCTTTATGTTTTTTTTTGGGTCATGGGTTGTAAGCGTAATCCGAATTTCTTGCTTTATGTGTATTTTTTGTCATGTGTAGTAAGAATTAATAGATTATACTTGGATTGATAGTAAGCACACATGTCTGTTCTATTTTCTTGGAAACTGATATGTTGGATGATGATTGTGATTATTAGGAAAAAAAAATGTTGGATTTATAAATGAATTTACAAGATTACAACAATAGATACTGTAAAACGAAATGGGCTTTATGGCTGGCCTATTTCAAAAACTGATATTTAGTGGAAAAAAATAAACCAATATTGGGCATTTAAAAAGAAAAATCTTGGTCTATAAAAAACTAATATTGGGGTCAAGCCCAATCCAACTAAACCCGCAAAATCAAACTGAAACTAATTGGGTCGGCCCAATTTAATTGAAATCGAATTGAAATATATAGATGATGTATGATGTTTCCAAACTCTAATCCTATTAATGATGATGTATGATGCTTCCAATTGATGTTGATGTATGATGTTCTAAACCCTAATCTTATTAACGATGATGTATGATGCTTCCAATTGATGTTGATGTATGATGTTCTAAACCCTAATCCTATTAATGATGATGTATGCTGTTTCCAATTGAATCGAAATCAAAATCGTAATTATTTGGATGAAATTTATGGTTTACATGCCTGTAAAAAAAATAAAAAGAAAAAAAAGAAAAGAAAAGAAGAAAAGAGGGCTACACTACAAATCAGGGACGGTACCACTAACAAGCTAACCTGGGCTATAGCCCAGAAGACTTGTTTTTTTAAAGACTAAAATAATACCCTAGCCTAGGCCAATTTTATTAACTAATCCCCACTAGGCTGGCTAACCAAACAAAAAAAAACCCAACACTCTTATCGTTCAGTTGTACCAGTTCCAAGGCTGCTTCTTCTCAACTCCACATAGGTATTTTTTCTCCACCTTTGTATTGGGCTATTGGTTTTTGGGGAATTGTAGTAACAATTATGCTAATTTGGAAAATGACTATTTTGAATATATATTATATGTTATTTTAATAGCGGTATCGGACGGGATTATTTTAAAAACAACAATTGAGGTCGAATCGAATCCAATACCCAAAACTCAAATAGAATTCAGAATCACCAATCCAAATAGGCCTGTAAATAAAGCTCAGGCCCGTAAAAGTCAAATAGATTTTATTTCAAAAGCAATAAACAGCAAATCACGTTTCACCTTAAATAATTCATTAATTAACCCATCTAAAAACACCACCATCCTAAATAATTCATGTAACCAAACATGCTAAAATATTGCTGCCCCAAAAATACGATCATTTCGCCGACATTTTGTTCTATGATCACCACCATAGGCTTTTGATCCTCTTCCCAAAATCGAAAATCCCTACCTGCTTGCAACTGTCAGCATTAATTGTATTCCCAAAAATTAAATTGATGTCCTGCTTTCTTTTTCTTTTTTTGGTAACCATGTCCTGCTGTCTTCCGTCTCGATCATTTTGGGAACTCAACGGGATATCCCCTCCCCCGTTTGAAGGAACAGGGGGTACTTTGCTTAGCATATATTTATGAATCTGTGAAATTAATATTATTCTTTAGCAAGTTTTCATGATGAGATGTTAGTCGATGTTGGTTGCAAAGAAACCTTGTGTCAGAATTGTACCTCATCAATTAACTCTTGACGTTCAGTAGTGCCAAATATTGGGGCTGCTTCACGAGATTTGATGGCTAGGGCACGCCTTTCTTCCTTATCGTATTCTACTGAACCCAATGCACCATTTGGGTAGGTGGGCAATAACTCAATAAGTTTAAGTAAAGCACTTCGCACTGCCAACAACAACAGTACATTAGCAAAATGGCACATTATATAAAGAGTGGTTATTTCTCCACTCCAATTTTGTCCACTTGCACTCCATTTTATAACTGAAAAAAAAGTGTAAGTGGTCAAAATAAGAGTGGGGAAATCATTACCCTATATAAAAAAAACAAGGGGATGAAGTCGAGACAACTTATAAGAGCATCTCCAAGGGAGATGTCAAATACCAAACATCAAATTTAAATTTGATGGCTGATGTGGCAATTTGACATTTTACACAGCTTTACACTCCACCCGATATGTCAAATTAAATTATTATTTTATTACCTTTTAGTGTTGATTTATTTTTAATTAAAAAAGAATATAAAAGAAAAAAATAATAAAATATTCATTTGACATCTTGCTTTTGGGATGTCAAAAATAACATCTCAATCTTCAGCCTTCATTCCACATCAGCTTTGACACATCGGTTGGAGCGTGTGAGATGTTATTTCTAGATGTTAAATGACTATGTGGCACTTTTGACATATCGATTGGAGACGCTGTAATAATGAGGCTAAAACCATATATCATCCATTAGCAAAAGCATTTTGGTTTACTGAGAGTAGAAGAATAGCTTCTGTTTTGCTGGATTATGTGTCTTCTTCTTTAGCAGGTGAGTGAGTGTTTTAAGAGATGCATTCTAACATTATATACATCCATACATAATGTCTCAGAAAGAATAAAATGTACCCCCGACTGACCGCTTCCCCGAAGACAAAGAGAAAGACCAGTTGAAACTGAGCTCAGTTTGGGTTTTGAAGCGACCATTTTCCTGCAAGTAAAGTATAGACACATCATGATTTTGATAATTTGAAAAAGAAAAAAGAAACTAACCCAGGTAGCAAAAGAGCCCACATAAACCTCAAAAAGCAACAACATATGATATTACCGTCAACAACGTGCATATTGGCCTCTCTAAGTAATTCTCCGAAAACTGGATCCGGCCATGATAAATCCCGCCCTCGAATTCAGTTCCATTAGGGCCTCTGATTGCAAATTGCCAATCATATGGGTTCGACTGAAAACAAATATCAATGATATGACCAACTAGCATTTCGGCCGAACAACAAGCCCAATTTCAATAGCCGAAAGGCCCAAAAAAATGAAGCGACAAATTATGCCCAATGTATACTTCTTCAAAAAGAGAAAAGGCTTTTTTATTTTTTCGCAAATGACCATAAAATTATCTTAAAACAAATTCGAATGCGAAAAACAACAATTGAGGTCGAACCGAATACCCAAAATTCAAATAGAATTCAGAATCACCAATCCAATTTCTTAACTTATCCTTCAAAGTGAAATTAAACCAAAGTCAAAGAACCTTGAGCGCCAGGCACTTGAAATCGTCGGAGGGATTGGATTGCATCTCCTCCAACTCCGTTTGAATGTAACTCGCCAAACTCGCCCGTGATTCCTTCACCACCCTGTCCCAAAGGCTTAGGGTATCCATTTGATTTTGTTTGATCTGCGCCGATCCGACCCGATCCACAACCATTTCTTCCGGTAACAAAACTTTAAAACACGAAGCGGAGAGAGGAAAGAGAGGCGGCGGTGTTTATAGGTGTGTGAGAGAGAGAGAAAGCATTCGTTGATTTTTGTTGGTTCTTCCACGTTATGTCTTTTTGCAGCAGCTATTAATACCCAAAATCTTACCTGCACATCCGACTTTTGCATTACAAATTATTTTTTATAAAACATTAATAATAAAATAAAGCACCACCACACGGTTTTGAAGAATCTTTGACGAAAGAGTAAACTGGGTTGTTTTGCTGAGTTGCTAATTTGCTGTATATTCATTTCCTTGTCTTTCTCTCTTTCTATGAATGAATACTGGGATTTCGAAGCGAAAAACAAATAAAGAAATTAGGGCGTGACGAGTCTTAATGGAAGCTGAAAATCAATACTAAATTATGAAGAATCCATTGATCGAGCAAATCACAACTTTAACAGAAAAGGTATCCTGTTTTCAATACCATCTATTCATCTTCTATGCATTGGCAGAGCATCAGGCTTCATGCACGGATCGAATTTTGTACATTTTGATGACTCTGTTATATGCATATATTTATCTATGAGCTGCTCAGAATTGACTCAGTTATATTTATATGCATGTATTAGGGTTTTATCGAAATTCTAATATTTTATATTTTTTTGCCTTTATATTAATTTTTTATTATATACAAACGATATATGAGAAGAAAGTGGAGTTCCTAAAAGAAAAGACCTAATTTAATTTCTGGCCCCGAGCCACCCAGAAATGAGGGTCGGCAATGACTAAAATTGTCACATTGAATTTAACATCTCGAAAAGCTATTAATTTACGGCCCAACAGTACTTTTCCTTCTTTGTTCCTTTTCTCCTCCATGTAGTAGATCTCTCCCATAAGTCTGAAAAGTCCTCCACCACTTTCGAGTGTGAACAAAACTTATTAATTATGTAAAGTTTTGTAAAGGTTGTATTTAAGATAATAAAACCGCGTGGAAAATTAGACACACGAAACACCCACAATTAATTAATGAAATCTATTATGACCGCGTGGAAAATTAGACACACGAAGCACCCACAATTAATATTACTACAATAAATATTATTAAATATGCGGGAATCGAGTTAGCCGAAACAAAAGGGAGCTTTTGATATTGGCATCAATTATGTGTACTTGCCAACACTTTCTTCACAGAAAGAAGAAAGGAAAGTTCTTCCAAGAACAATAGCTTTCTTCTAGCTTCTCCATTTCTGTCTTCTCCCCACCTCTCAAAGGAAAGAGCATATTGCCTTCTAGATTATTTGATACATTAGATTATTCTGTTGGTGTGTAATCCTTCATCCGAGTTTTTGGAGCTAAAGGAATTGTGTCTGCTCTGTTTTCATTTCCTTTTAGTTGTTTATTTTTTCTTCAGTTTTATTGTGCACCCTTGGATCACAGTCCAAGTGTTTTAATCTCTAGCATAGGTTTAAATGACATGTGTAAGCATCTAATAGGATGCTAGAACTTGAGCTTTTTGTAAATATGGTACAGGGAAGAATATCTCTTTTCCTCTCTCTGCCTAACGATTATAACCAAACAGTGGAACAAATATGAAATACACAAGCATTTTTTCATTCTCCAGAGCAACGCTCTCTCTCAATTTTTCTGTGATTTTTCTTCTTTGCTCCCAAAATATCCAAAATATGAAATGCTGAAACTAAGAATTCTAACATGGTATCGCGAGCCAGGTTCGATTGCTTGAGCTGGGCGTGAATCTGTGATTGAATCGGAGAAATTGGGTTTTGTTTGAGCTAAACTTGAGCTCATCTGAAGATCGCGATTTCTCAAATCCAATGTCTAATATGGCAGGATCGAGTACCTCTGAGCTGCGAACTCCAATTTTCAATGGAGAAAATTATGAGTTCTGGAGTATCAGAATGAAAACTATTCTGAAATCTCATGGTTTATGGGATCTGGTCGAGAATGGGTTAAGTGACCTAGATCTGAAGAAGGAGAAAGAGGAGGCTGTAGACACTGAGAAGTCTATGGTGGTTCAGACTCTGATGAAGGATGCACGTGCACTTGGATTGATCCAAAGTGCTGTTTCAGATCAGCTATTTCCAAGGATTGTGAATGAGGAAACTTCGAAGGGAGCTTGGGATATTCTGAAGCTGGAATTCAGAGGAGATAAACAGGTACGAAATGTCAAATTGCAAGGGCTGCGTAGGGAATTTGAATATACCCGCATGAAGGATAGTGAATCTTTATCTGTATATCTGGTTAGGTTGTTTGATATAGTAAATCATATGAAGAGTTATGGTGAGGAACTATCTAGAGAGAGAATTGTCCAGAAGCTATTGTTTAGTTTGCCTAAATCTTATGATTCTATCTGCTCTGTAATTGAACACTCTAAGGACCTTGAAACTCTTGAGGTTCAAGAGGTTGTCGCTTCACTGAAGAGCTTTGAGCTCAGATTGGATAGACACACTGAGAATTCTACAGAAAAAGCCTTCTCTAGTCTGAATGTTGGTAGGAAAAACCCTGAAAATGGAATTGCTTCTGCAGATCAAATACCTCAGAAAAATTGGAAATCCAATGATGGAAACAAAATGGCCTGCAAACATTGTGACAGATTTCATTATGGCAAATGTTGGTATGAAGGGAAACCTAAATGCCATGGTTGTGGGAAGCCTGGACATATGATCAGAGATTGCTATGGACACAAGAATGTGCAGAGAGTGAATTATGCAAATCAGGAGGAAGATTGTGGCACTTTGTTTTATGTGTGTAATGCTGCAACTGATGTGAAGGTAAATCACTCTTGGTATATTGACAGTGGTTGTAGTAACCACATGACAGGAGATGAGGGACTTTTGGTCAATATTCAAAGGAATTTGAGCTCTAAGGTGAAGATGGGAACTGGAGAAGTGGTCCCAGTTGCTGGAAAAGGGACCTTGGTGATAAAAACTAAGTTAGGCAAGAAGCACATTCATGAAGTAATGCTTGTACCTGGCCTTGAAGAAAATCTGCTTAGTGTTGGGCAAATGATGGAACATGGCTATCACCTTGTGTTTGGAGGAAATGTGGTGAGTGTTTATGACAATCAGTCACTAGAAAATCTGATTGTGAAGGTGCAGATGACAAATAACAGATGCTTTCCATTGACAATGATGCCTGCGAGTGAGTTGGTCCTAAAAGCAAGTGTCACACATTGCTTGCAGACATGGCATAAGAGGCTGGGGCATTTAAATGAAAGAAGTATAAAATTGCTTGAGAATCAAGGGATGGTTCATGGCTTACCTCACTTGGAGCAGAAGTCAGTTGTATGTGATGGTTGTATGCTTGGAAAACAGCATAGGGATTCTTTCCCTTTGGAATCCACTTGGAGAGCTTCAAACCCTTTGGAATTGGTTCACACAGACATCTGTGGACCAATGAAAACAGAATCACTATCTGGAAACAGGTACTTTCTACTGTTTACAGATGATTTTACTAGAATGTCATGGGTGTACTTCATCAGAAATAAGTCAAGTGCATTGGAATGTTTTAGAAAATTCAAAGCTATGACTGAGCTGCAAAGTGGGTATAAGATAAAAGGCTTGAGAAGTGACAGGGGTGGAGAGTTTCTATCTGGAGAATTCAACAAGTTTTGTGAGGAATCTGGTATTCAAAGGCAGCTAACTATGGCATATTCTCCACAGCAAAATGAAGTGGCCGAGAGGAAGAACAGGACAGTAGTGGAAATGGCCAAGTCCATGTTGCATGAGAAAGGTGTTCCCTATGAGTTTTGGGCAGAAGCTGTAAATACAGCAGTCTATTTGCTGAATAGATGTCCTACCAAGGCTCTTAACAAGATAACACCATTTGAAGCTTATACTGGCAGAAAACCAGGAATTGCACATTTAAAAATATTTGGATCTCCTTGTCATGTGTTTATTCCTTCAGCATTGAGGCATAAGCTTGAAGAAAACAGTCACAAGTGTATTTTTGTAGGCTATGGTCTCTGTGAAAAGGGATATAGGCTGTTTGATCCAAGTACTAGGAAGATAATTCTGTCCAGAGATGTGCAATTTGATGAAAATGGCTTATGGAAGTGGGAAAATACAAATGAAGAAGAGATGGTAGTCCCTTTGCCTACTGAGAATCAAAGCTGTGAACCAAGTCAAAGCTTGGATACACCACTGCAAATGGATGAAGAAGTCACATTACAAGCTGAACCAAGTCAAAGCTTGGATACACAAACTCAAATAGTTGAAGATACCACTCTGCAAGATGAAGGCATAGGTGAAAGTTCTCAATTCTTTGATCACACACCAAAGAAATGGAGAAGTGTAAGTGAAATCATGGCTAAGTGTAATGTGTGTATTGTGGAACCTGAAAATTATGAAGATGCAGCTCAAGATGAGTCATGGAGAAAGGCAATGGAAGCTGAACTGGAAATGATAGAAAAAAATGACACTTGGAAACTTGTCGAGAGACCATTTGCTAAACCTGTGATTGGTGTTAAGTGGGTCTACAAGACTAAACTGAATCTAGATGGTACTGTGCAGAAAAACAAGGCTCGTTTAGTGGCTAAAGGCTACTCACAAAAGCCCGGTATTGATTACAATGAGACTTTTGCCCCTGTGGCAAGGCTAGACACCATTAGGACCTTGATTGCTCTTGCTGCACATAAGGAATGGAGCTTGTATCAACTAGATGTGAAATCTGCATTTCTTAATGGAGTTTTAAAGGAGGAAGTATATGTGGAGCAACCACAAGGATTTGTAAAGAAGGATGAGGAAACAAAGGTATACAAGTTACACAAAGCTTTGTATGGTTTGAAGCAAGCACCAAGAGCTTGGTATGACGAGATTGATGCCTATTTCAACAAGGCTGGTTTCAAGAAAAGTCCAAGTGAGGCAACTTTATATGTTAAGGCAGAAGGTTCAGATGTTCTTATTGTTTCTCTATATGTTGATGACATAGTGTACACGGGTAGCAGCTCTCAAATGATTGAAGAATTTAGGAGAGATATGATGGAACACTATGAGATGACAGATTTGGGAGTATTACACCATTTTCTTGGAATGGGGGTGATACAGTCTAAACAAAGCATTTTCTTGCATCAGAAGAAGTATGGACAGAAGCTGGTTGAAAAATTTGGTTTGAAAGATTGCAAAATAGTGGCTACACCACTTGCAATGAATGAGAAGTTAAGTAAGAATGATGGAAGTGAGGCTGCAGATGAAGGAGAATATAGACAGATTGTGGGCAGTTTGCTCTACTTGACTGCAACTAGGCCTGACATAATGTTTGCAGCTAGCCTCTTGGCAAGATTCATGCACAATCCCACCAAGAAACACATGGGAACTGCTAAAAGGGTATTGAGATACATTCAAGGAACAATAGACTTTGGAATTGTATTTGAGAAGGGAAAAGAAACTACTCTTATTGGCTATTGTGATAGTGACTGGGCAGGAAGTGAAGATGACATGAGGAGTACCTCAGGGTATGCTTTTACTATGGGATCGGGAGTGTTTTCGTGGGCTTCAATTAAGCAAAATACAGTTGCTTTGTCTACAGCAGAGGCAGAA